GAGCATGTGCAAAGTATCTTCCTTCACAAATGGACAACTATAATCAGCATTCTCATGTAGTTGAGATTAAGGGTCATGCCTTTCAGGTCACCGGTGATGATTTCTGGCAGGGTTAACTCCCAATATGAATGACTTCAGAAGTTAAAACCAGTTCCAATGAATGTCACCACCAAAGAGCGCATGAAAGAGAAGACTCTCAATGGCTACCAGTCAGAATGGCCACATATTGTGTGCATTATCTGAACCTGTGTGCTCCTCAGGAGGAGTTACTGGGAAACACAAGCCGGAGTGAGCACCTGCCCCCAGCTCCCCTTGCAAGACCCTCAGAGGGTTCAGGTTGGGCACTGTGATGGAACAGTATGCCGAGCCAGAGAGGCCTAGGATCTCATCCAGCGCGGCATGTTTTATGCTCATATGTTAACAGTCACAGTCAATAGCAGTTCAACGGAAAATAAGCAGCACAAACCAAGCAGCCACATTTGGCGAAGCACTTGGCAAAAGACCTGATCTGCGTCTTCATGTGCAGGATCCTGTCACACTTAACATACGGCTCTGCACAGCTGCTCTTCTCCAGCACATGGAAGAGGAATAAAATGTCTCTGATTCGTACTGATTGAAATTCCTGCTTAGTTAGAAAGCACACTGAGTCAGCCCTGGGCAAGTCACCCTTTCTCAGCCTCGCTTACCTCATGAGGTTGCCATGAGTGTAAAGCAAGGGAAAACCCCATGTATGCTTGAAGGACATGATACAAAGATGGTTTAAAACAACAACAACAACAACAATGGCACAGCTAAAAAAATGGCACAGCTAACAAACCCTGCAGTGGTACTTTGCCTGATGCAGAAGTGAACTCCCAAAAATGTTACTGTGTTTGCTTTTTGCTTATTTGTTAAACACACGCCTCTTCAGCCTTGTTATCGGCCTCTTCACTCTAATGGAAGGCTAAAAGCCTTCATTCAATATTTGACCATAAATTGATGAAAGTTCTAAACACATATGTAGAAGTGACACACTTCTATTTGTTCATGTGCCTTTTGTTTCTTCCTTTCTGACTGATTTTAGTCAATTCAAGTTGATTTCTCCATTTCTTAGAAGCTTGTTTCTGAGGTAGTTTCTGAACTGAATTTCAGTTTCACTGTTTGCATATTCATTAACTAGAACTCAAGCTGCAGCAGAACAGATTCAGGTTAGATATATCAGGACATGCTGATATATCACGCTGGAGGCATTCAAAAAGAAATGGGACAGCCATCTGAGTGGGATGGTGAAAATTGGTGTCCTGCAACAGCAGGGGGTTGCCCCAGTGGCCTTCTTGACCTCTTGCAGCTCTATTCTGTGATTCTATAGTATAACTTAGCTTGGTAATGTATATAATGCTCTATCCCTTGTACATTTTTAAAGGGTAAGTACTGTTCACTAGACCTTCTCTGTCTTTTGTCAACCTCATGATGGCAAAGTCTTTTTCTCCTGCAATTTTGCTCCTTATTCAGTAGAACATTACAAAATCTCACAACCACCTAGAAACCCTAGAAACCTTTGTACCAGCAATGCCACAACCAGCTTTTAACACTCAACGAACACAAAATATGTTTGGAGTGCTAGGGCTTGGACCAGAAATGGTTAAATCTCCAATCACTCATGAAGCATGCAAGATACGGTGCTTTCTCATAATATAATCGACCTCACAGGAGGTTGCAAGGATAGAAAGGGATGCAGATAAAATGTCACACTAACAAAAACTTGATGCTCGGTCTATCTTTTTTGCAATGGTTACATAATCATCTTTTCTCTTAAAGTATGTGCACATCTAAGCGTATTTATTGGGAAATCAATCCCATTGAACTCAATGCGTTTTGTTCAAATATGCATGTTTAGAACTGGACCATTATGGGATCACCTTTGTAACCAGTCGCTGATTCCGGCTGACAGGCTGGACAACCGTGGCTTATGTTCTGCTTCATTTCTTAATCTTGACTGCATTTAATAGGAGCTCTCTTGGATAAGTCCAACATCTACCTGTTTCCTGGAGCTTCTTCATCTTCCTATACTACACTGCAACCCACCAGTGTTTTTCTTCCCATTAACTTCTACTTTATTCATTTCTCATATACTGTCTGATTATTAGAAAATCTCAAGATGGTTCACAAATTGGTCTAGGGCTAGGCACATGATCTTCAACTCTCCCCAGTATATGTTAGTACAACTGTTAGTAACACGGCCGTTCGACTCTCCTGGAAAAACTCATGCTTGCACTTCCCCCATGAACGCGGGGTCCTAAAATATTGTCAGCCTTTTTTTGTGGCCAGCTCAAATGCCCTCTCCTATATCTTGCGGCATGCACAGAAGGCGTGGGAGAGAAACACGTCTTCCTATTTGTGCTGGGATAGGGAAAAGGTCTGAAATGGGGAATCTCTCCTACTTCTTAGAAGGAAAACCTGCTTTTAAAAAATCTGGCTTGTAAAATGCAGTGGAGCTGAAACCTGCCAGGTGGAGATCAGCATGGTGCATTGTGTCCTGCTCACTGGGGGAAAGAGGCACTCACCCTGATGAGCAGGACTTGGAGATATCTGTGGAGGGCAGCCTATCCAAAGCGTTAAATGCAGGACTGTGATCCTTATGAAGAATGAGGTGCTACTGTACTTGGGCCATTCATATTTCTAAGTGTTTCCATGTATGAGGAGCCTAGGATGGCTTACCTAGTCCTCCTCCACTCCCTTTCATCCTCACGACAACACCCCTGTGAGGCAGGTGAGGCTGAAGTGAGGACTGGTTTAGAGTTCATCAGTGAGCTTCATGGCCAGCTGGGAACCAAAGCCTGGATCTCCCTGGTCCCCAGTCCAACCCACTAACCACCACCCACACTGGCTCTCTGGCTTCCGCAATCATCAGCTGCCATTTCAAATACAGTTACATGGGGAAAGCAGATATTCCAATTAATGTTTCTAAATATTGCTGAAATATAATTATACTGACTGAGGAGTCATGCCATTGCTGGAACAATGAACAGTTCCATTTCAGCTGCGTGGGTTTTGTTTGGTTGTTTGTCAAGGAGATTCCCTCCATTTGCTAGCAAGGTCTCATTAGAAAAGCTGTGTTTGCCTTAATTGTGATTTCCATGTTGAAAGAAGCTGCTTTTCCCAGGTCTTGTTATTTGCCCCATAAAGACGATCCATCTCCACCAAGAAGGAAAAAATGACAACAGGAACATATAAGCGTCCACGAGGGGGGTTTTGGAAGTAGAGGGAATGCTTCAGTAAAGAATTTACTGCTTGCCCTTCATGGGTGAAGTGTATATTTTCCCCACCTAAATGGAAATTCAGATGCTGCAAAAAAGAGATTACATGCAAAATCTGGCACAGTGCCTGTTAGCACTGCCCCATGCAAAGGTGTACAGCTACCCAGAGCAAAACACAAGCTGAACTACTTTAAGGAGCATTGGTATCCCAGGCCAGGTGTCCATAGCCGGATTATGCAAGTTATGTTGCCAAACTGGCCTAACACGTAACATTATACCATTTACCTGAATAGCTCAGATTGTGCTCTGCCCAGTTTTCTGTTCTCCCTCATTATGAGCTCCCTGCTTTTGCTACATCCCTGATAGAAAGCTATTGCAGAGTGTGTCTCGCCTACAACGAACTCCATTGCTCTGCCTCACACATACTGCTCTTTAACAACTCCCAGGAGGGCAGGGCAGGGCGAGTGCAACTCCGCACTGTCAGTTCTTTGTTTAACAGAACGCTGCCATGAAAGGGAGTCTGCCATGTTTTATTGCTAAGTTTACAGCGGGGTGGTGGTGCTGGGGCATAACAAGTCCCAGCTAAGTCCACAGTTGATATGCTCTCCGACCTTCCCAGGGGGTCAGATGGGAAAAGAAGGCAGATGCAGGCCACCGGTGGGCAGAGCGGCAGCTTCTGCAATTCAAGCACGCAGCCCTTGCCACAATCATGTCACCTCCACCATTATCAGTAGGAGATCTTCAGTCTTCTTTGAACCCCAGGCCATTCCGCTAAACTGAGCAGCGGTTCTTGACATATCCAGAGAAGCGGTTTGGATGGCAGACACTAGCACCCCAGCTATAAACCTTTCAGCCCGAAGTCTGCCTCCAGAAGCATCTATGCGCCCTCGCACGCATTATGAATGATTTTGAAGCAGTTTAGCAGTTGTTTTTTCTCTAGAGTTTGCCTGGCCCTGCAAACTTTGCCCAAGTCCTATAAACACTTAGGAATCCAGTCAGTAGAGGAGTGGCCCCAACCGTCATACAGTTCCAGCGAGTTTTAAGCTGGGGAGTATCTTGTCAGTCTAGGTATGTGTTTCTATGAGATGGATTGGAGGCAACATCTTTATGATTTTTAAACGTTTAGTCTGTCCTACAATCCAATTAAGCAAAGGTGTTTCGATTGAAGGGTGCAAGCCTATACACACTTACCTGGGAGGACACAAAAACAGTGCTGCATATCTATGTTTGTCCCTTGAAGAGGACAGATATCCCTGATTAGATTCAAGGAATACGACTCAGCAATCCTGGGGAGGGGGAGGGAGATGCCTCCACATTGTGAGATCTGTTGACAGGTCATGGGTCACAAAGGGCATTTTAAATCTGTTTCCCCAGTGCTCCACCCCTTAACTTGGACTATAATGTGTATGTAAAACTCAGACCGGCAGGAATGCACCTCTGGTTTCACTTGAGGGTTCTGTGATCATGTTATCAGCAATGAAATGAAGGACAAACAGCACGAGGAAAGTTCAAAGGTGCTTCTTAGTTGGCTATGGCCTTACCTGCCTAATAATGAATGATGTCAAAGAGGAAGTCTAGACAGAAGTGGTTCCTTCCTTCTTCCTCAGATTAAAAAGTTTTTGGTCACATGCAAAAAAATAGCATAGGTGGGAACCACAATTTTCAGCCACAGAAGCACTTTGCTACCCAGGGACATCCACAGCATCAATGGTAATGTGGAAAATTGGGCGGGGGGGGGGGATGGAATAACCTGGCATTACTCACCACTAGTGGAATGGAGCAGATCAGCACAACCAAGGAGGTGGCAATGAGCAAGATGACCATCTGGATCTCTGCTCCAGCCATGCGCCGGAAACTCCTGCGCCGGCGAACATCCGACAAGCGGCTGGCAGTGTGGTCTGTCCCCAAGGAGGTGCGCCGCATGAATTGACGGTGCATGCGGATCAGCGCCATGCACACCAAGATGTTAGAAACCACAGTGACCATGATTAGGAAGGAGCTGAAACCAGCATACATGTAAGAGTACGCAGCATGGGTTGTAACGTTGGTCCGCCAGTCGATGAAGCACCAGGTCTGAGGGTACTGCAGCTTCGTGCTCCCCAAACCCATGCTTGGCAGCGCACAGAAGAGGACGTTGGAAACATAGATAGCAAAGAGAGTTAGTGCCGCCAGCTTCTTATCCACGTAGTGGTTGTAGAAGTAGGCATGGTTGATGGCCAGGTATCTCTCGATGGACATGGCGCAGATAATGCTGAGTCCAGACAGCCCGAAGAAGAGGAGGATGAAGGTGCTGTATTCGCACAGTGGCTTGCCCCCGGGCCACTCATTCTTCACGTATGTGGCGATCGTGACCGGACTCACCAGGCAGGTGCCCAGGAGGTCTGTGACGGCAAGTCCACAAACCAGCGTATAGAAGGTGGTCTCCTTCTGCTCCTTGCGGGATTTGCAAAGCACCACGATGGCAATGAGGTTTCCCACCACGCCAAAGATGAACATGACAGTGGGAATGGTCAGCGTCCTGCTGCTCTCGCCGGGACCCACAGTCCCGTTGGAGGAGCTGTTGACAGGGAGGACCATGGTGGGGCTGAAAGACATGATGAGGGCAGGCAGCTCCCAAGCAGAAACGCTTAAAAAATAAAAAATATCAATCTTGATTTAAAGAGTCAGTGCTGCAAACCTGCAGTTCAAAGTCAAGCTGAGAAAACAAGGGAAATCCAAACTGGAGGAAAATAAAGATGCGTGCATTTCAAAGGTGGAACAGGGAGAGACGGAGGTAGCAACCATGCAAGGTTGTTTCAGAAAATCAAGAAAATGGGGAGGGGCGTCAAGAAAAACAGTAGCCCTGAAACGCTCAGATGCGATTCTGCTGCCCGGCAAAAGGGTTCCCAACTCCCCTTCTCTGTATGTGGAGTTTCTAGACTTCTTCTTAGGGTATCCCCCTCCTTTACAAAGGAGTTTTTGCACTTTCAAAGTTCAGCTCGGAAACTGATCCCGCCTTGCGACAGAAGGCTTTCCCATCCCTCTCTCCCCGTAAAAATCAGTTCTCTTTTTTCCCTCCCTCAGGTTACTCGAATAAAATACTCCACTGTGTTCTTTCTGGATCTTTTGCGAAGTCAAAACGGGCCACTCCGATTTAAAAAGAGAGAACGAGAGAGAGAGAAAGGGAAAGATGAAACTCGGGCTTTGCAGCCAGCTGCCACTGCTCCTGGAAGGTGTTTCGCCCAACTGCTCCCTGGTCCCTCGGCGAAAGCGCGTCTGTCGCCGGCTTCTCCGGGATCACAACACCGTTGCGGGAGCAGAAGGCAGGGAGTGGCGGCTCCCGACGGGCACACTGCTCGCTCGCAGTTCTTCAGCCGCCGCCTTCGGAGGAGCGCTTGGAGAGGGGCGTCCCATGCAGCCGGGGATGGGGATGGGGATGGGGACGGCCGCGGAGCCGCCGGCGATCGCGCCTGACTGCAGGGCGCCCTCTCCGGCTCCGACCATGTGCTCCTTCCAGCCTTCGGATTACTCACTCGCGAGCTCGTTTGCAAGTTCGCTCCTTCAAGTTTCTCCAGTCTGGGAGGCCGCCCGGCGTGGCTCCGCCCACCGCTGGCCCTGATTGGGCCACGGGCAGCAGGGGGCGTGCCGAGTGACTCTTGCGCCGCTCGAGCGGCAGCGCGTGAGGTGCGTGGAGCAGCGAGTGGGTCCGGGAAGGAGGCGCCGGGCGCCGCCGCCCTTCTGGGGAAGGCGCAGCGGCTGATCGACACGGGTCGGCTGGTCCACGGGGTCGCTCCTCCGCAGAGGGGCGGGGGATCCTTCTCCGCTCAGTTAGGAAGCTCGCAGATTTGCACCAGCAGCACCACTTTTGCAGCGCTTCATCTGAGCTTTGCCGTTTCTGGGGACAGGAGGACAAGCGCGCGAGCAGGAGGAAGCAGCGGCTCTTTCTCCTGCTCACGCTCTCCGGGCACCATGACAGGCGGGGACGGCGCTAGGATCTGCTCAGATCGTGCCCTTGCCTTGCACGCGTCCTGGAAGTTCTCTGCGGTGCGTGTCTTTAAACGATCCCTCTTTGTGAAAAGGGGCGCATGGGCAGGAGGAGACCTCAGGCGGAAAGATGCAAAGGGAAGCCCCTGGGCAAAACGCCAGCTGGTCCGGCGGGATGGGATGCCGCCGAGACCATCAGGCTCCCGGATTTTCATTTTAGCCAGTGCCCATGGGCAGTGCGGTGATGGGGCGGAGGGTCTCCCAGGGCTTGGGGCCGCGGTCCTAGCGGGTCGGCCCCAGCACCACCCACTCTGGCAGCAGGGAGGGTCGCTTCCCCGGGAGAGTGCGGGTGAACAGAAGCCTCTTGCCGTTTTCTCACCACAGTGCAACTTGCAGCGTTAGCTTTTTTTTTAAAGGAGCGGAGCCTCAACTTCCCGCTCCGGCGCTCTCCCTCGGAAGGCTAAACTGTGATTAATCCATAGTGGACCCTACCCTCTTAATTTTCACCTTATTGCAGCTGAGGGCCATGATTTAGGGAAAGGGCGCGTCACGGCCCCTGGTTCCCAATCGTCCCCGCCAAGAAAAGGCTGAATGAGTGTGCGGTGGGGCGGAAGCGTGCAAGCAGAAGGGGTGCCCTTCTGTCTTCCCACTCACTTGCTCCTGGGAGTGAATGCAGTGCGGATTGGGCTCACCTTGCTCCCTAGAGAGAGCCAGCGTGGCACGGTAGGTAGGCAGAGATCGGAGTTCTAGCCCACACCAGACCCTGAAGCTCACCGGCTAACCCTGGGCCAGCCACAGACTCTCAGCCCAACCTACTTCACAGGGTTGTTGTGGGGATAAAATGGAGCTACGTAAGCCGCCTTGGATTCCTCACAAGAGGAAAAAAGCGGGATATGAATGCACTGGAGTAACAGTACAGCAGGGACTACCAATGCGCCACCCACAGAACCCCTAATGTGCCTGCAGGCACCCGCATTTTTCATTTTTATTTTAATAAAGAATCCCAAGCACTCATTTGTTTAATATAAGTACCCGTATGGCATGCGTGCAACTTTTGAGCAATTATGCATAGGTTTCAATGAAGCTGGAACAAATTTTCAAGCAAGGATCCACTTGCAGAAGGTGTCAGTGTGCCAATATACTAAAATGTTGCAAGGTCCTCAGTCCATGGCATTATCAGAAGTGGCTGTTCATCACTGTCAAAAGCAGGCTGGCAAAAGGGCTCAGAGATTCCATTTCCGCTTTCATTTGTTGATTTCCACGAAGCAAGTAAATAATTTAGAAGCGCATGTACATCATGGAATATTAAAACCTCTTCCAGTAGAAAGCTTACCTTGAGATAAACACCTCACAAAAGAGGTAACTACACTGCCCAAATATATTTTACAAGAAGCATGAACTGTATTACATTGACAGCAATTAGAAAAATTAAACAAATCCTTATCAAAGAGACAATCAGTACCCAATGTTCATGGAAGCAAGAGTTTTTCCTGAAGATGCAGCCGAGATGATATGGAGCAATGGTTTAGGCATTTTATATCTATCTATCTATTAGATTTATATCCTGCCTGATTAGTCTAAATGGTTCTCTGGGCAGGTTACAGGAAATAATAATATACATAGCAAAATAAATAATAATAATATAACAACACTAAAATCCCAACAAACAACAAAACCCCACAATAAAAGTTCACAATCACCTCAGTTTTTACCAGTGAAGCACAATAAAGGGCACAATAGCATTAAGGTGTCATTCATACTGTGAAACTTTAAAATTTGCCCTAACAGTTAAAATAATGAGTAAATAAAAAAGATCTTCACCTGGTGCCAAAAAGATCGAAGAGAAGGTACCAGGCAAACCTCTCTGGGGAGCTGATTCCAGAGCTGCGGTGCTACTGCCGGAAGGCCCCTCTCCCTGTAGCCGCCCTCCTTGTTTCCTTCAGAGGGGCTCCCTGAGAAGAACCGGTGATGCTGATCTAAGAGCCCTGATAGGCACATATGGGATGAGGTTCTCCTTTAGCTATCCTGGCCCCAAGCCATTCAGGTCTTTAAATGTTAGAGTGAAATGGGCCTGGATTTCAATTTGTATAGAGTAGTAGTTCCTCTAATTTCCAGATGCGTCCCAGGTCCAAAGCGGTCGGAGTCCTCTGTTCTGGAGAGAGAGACATGGAATCTGTGACTGATGGAAGGACCAGCCAGCCCATCCCCTCCCTTGACCACCCCAATCCTTCCTCTGGGCTACCCAGCAGTGGGAATTCTGTTCAGTCTGTTGCCCTCATCCACTAACCCTGCTTGTTTGTTAACAGCTGGCATCTGCAGCATAATGTTCCACGCACAAACTTAGTGGACCATCATCACAAAAGTGAACAAATGCACAAGCAAGATCAGGGGAGAGGAAGGAGGAGGTTGGACGGGCAGCAGGAACGAGGTAGTAGGCGTGGTCTTCCAACACATCTAGAAAGTTGTATGCATGTCATATGAATCTATGTATGTTAAAGGGGACTTCAACAACAATTTTAACCAGCTGGGGAAGACTGAGCTTGGTGGACACATAGACCCACCTGGCTTTTGAACACCCTCTGAGCAGTGAAAGAAGGTTAGAAAAGCTCCAGAGGCCTGCCAGAGGAAAACAAAGCAGCCTTTGCTGTAATTATAGTTACAGCCCACCACGCACATCTAACTGGCATAGCTGATGAGGGGAACATTCATCTGTAAAGCACTGCTCTTGCCTATTATTTATTCCAAGGGAACGGAATATTTCAAATTAGTTCTGAGGCTAAGGCCCAGCTCAGACGAAGGGCACGCATGCTTGCTTCATGGGTTAGAAAAATTGGGCTGAGGGTGAGAACCAAGCCTGACTGAGGAGAAGGCAGGGCAGAGCCCTTTCCCATTCTACATTCAGAGGCCAAAAGGACTGGCAGATGGATCTTTCTTCAGCGCTGTCCACTGGAGAGCATCTTCCACCAGCCTGGGGCTTGGCATGCTGCTCTGTCCTCCAGCCCCTCGCTGCCGCCACCCAGCATGTCCCGCCTGAGGTAGCAGTGTCCCTTTGCTTAATGACAGGGCCAGCTGTGGTAACAGTAGCTCCTTTGGAAACCCGGAGGAGCAAGGATCTCTGGGAGTGCAGGATAATGATCCCCCCAGACCCAACTGTATGACTGAATGCCCGCCAGCGCTACTGCACAGAGACTTGCCTGGGAGTCAGCCCCACTGAACGTACTTCTGAGTTGACACAGCTCAGATGGCATCACGAAGATGTGGATCTCGGCTCTTTTGGAAATCCATGCATCAAATTAATCAGGACTTTTGATTTGGACTCAGCCCAGTATCTTCCTTTCAACAACCCTGCCGGTTAGGACAGTATTGTGAGCCCTCCCTTCTTTCAGAGGCTGGGGCAGGGAGAGCGGTTATGAAAGAAACACTTGCAAGATGGTCTTGCAAATTTTGGCAGGCGCCCCATTCAGACCCGGGACTTCCTCATCCCAAGCTCAGCCTTCTGGTTGCAGTCTTGACCCGGGACTTCCTCATCCCAAGCTCAGCCTTCTGGTTACAGTCCTGACCCGGGACTTCCTCATCCCAAGCTCAGCCTTCTGGTTGCAGTCCTGGGCACGCTGCAGTGTACTCTTGGCTCACGGTCAGGTTCAGTGGAAGCCGTGTCCGAGTGAGCATGCATAAGGCCAGGCTGCCAGTGGTATATGAGACCCTGTTAGTTTCAGCAGTGCTACAGCTCATGTCAGATGGCACTTCTGGAAGAGAATCCATCTCCTGAAGGGCACAATGTTCAGCGGGAGGTGTGCACAGATAGAGCATTCCTTGCAATTAGCTAATGAAGAGGTGGAGGACCTTGTGTACAAGAGAAACAGCGCTCTCCTGGCACAAAATAGTCAACACCTCAAGCTATTCGCTTTGGTGCTGCTTTTCTGCTGCTGTGGTGAGGTTAACTTCTCCCCAGAAAGCATCTGCCCTCAACGATCCCCTTCTCTTGACAGAGCCTTAAGAATCCGACTGTGTTGCTAAATGAAAGAAGGACATGTCTGCATGGGGAGCAAAATAATCTTGGAGTGATTTTGGCCCTCCCAGAGGGAAATTGCTCCAGCCTTATGCAATTACACATCAAATAAGTGCTGCCCATCCCCAAGTTTGACTATCATGTTGGGGAGGGGGAGCAATTTAGAGGGCAGGATTAACCAGTGTCCCCAGCTCCCACTGTGTTCAGAGTAGATCTTATTCCCATGTATGCTTGCAGTGTCCACTAAGGGGCCTACACTGGTGCAAAGATGCATGGGCCAAGGCTGCAGTGCTGTGCTCATTTCACTTAAGAACAGAGAAATCTGTCTTATGCCATTAGCTGATCCAGCCATACTCACTAGCAGCACTGTGGTCCATAACAGCTGGTCCCCAGCAGATACTACTGAGTACAGCTCCCAGTACTCCTGGTCATT